AGTATTCTTGCTGAGGGACACTCTTGTGCCTGCTCCTATTTTTCAAACATTTAATGACAGTGGATCCCAGTGAAACCCAAATGTGAACCCAGACCAATCAAGATCAAGCCTATTTTTTTCTGGAATTTACCCTCTCTTACATAGAAAAGAAATAATTGGATTCTTTTACACAAAATAACTGTATCCACTGTCATTAAATGTTTGAAAAATAGGAGCAGGCACAAGAGTGTCCCTCAGCAAGAATACTTTTTTGGTGCTTGAGACCCAAAATTGGCAGCAACTGGGAGGCTCCTGTTATGTATTTTTTCATCACAGTTGCAACTAAAATAAAATGGGATCCCTATGTTTCAAGTGGAACTGGAGTGCCTACCTTAATTCTCTACTCGAACTGTAGAACTAGTAGACTGAAATCTAATACCAGAGGGATCCAGCAGGATTCTGGTGTTGCTTATGTAGCTGTGCAATATTGCAGCAGCAGCAGCCTATGTTATACTTTGCATTTGTCTGGCAGAGATGTGTTAAATCATTCCCTGCTTAGGTTTATTTTTAGTATTGCAAGCAAGGGACCAGAACTTGACTAGGCCACTTGCTGAGTCTGGGGTTTGGGTTTTGCTCTAGATGTGTGCCTGGGTCTGGAAGTTTTAGGAATAAAAAATAGTAGAATAAACATTCTACTTTGGTTTTGGAACTAAGAGACTTGGGGGTAAATATGCTGCTGGATCCAGGCTACAAATAAGTAGCATATGGGTGCTGGAATGCTTCATGTATCAGAGATGGCAACATCAGCTGGCCAGCCATTTTCATGGTGTAGTATATTGAGTCCAAACTTGGTACAACCTGGTATGATCTAAGTCAGGGGGTTTCAACCTTTTTGGATCAGTGTATCCCCAGTGGCTGGATGCAGAGCAATGTACCCCCAGCAGCCGGACACAGAGCAGTGTGGGGGGGATCACACAGAGCCCCATGCAGCAGGGGTGGGGGGGAGGTGTGTGGCCCAATGCGGAGTGGGGGGTGGGAGGTGGTGCATGGCCGAATGTGGTGCGGTGCAAGCTGCTGCATGCAAGCTTCCCCTGTCCCTGCATCCAGCCGGGTGGGCGGCACCAGCACAGCAGCTTGGGATGGTGCGTGCTGGCATTCCATCCTTGCCCACCTGTGTGTACTCCCTAGGACCTTCTCAAGTACCCCAGGGGTATGTGTACCCCCCATTGACAACCTAATCTAGGTGGCGGATCCAAGTGTTTATAATTCTGGGGAGCTGGAAAGCATGTACCGTGTTTGTTTGGTTTGTTTTTTTATGCACAATAAGTAGCAACACTGTTCTCCGTATAGAATTTGCAGGTTGGGGGCCAAAAATCAGCAGGAGCCTGCTGGCTCTCACAGTTTAGAGCGGTATTGCACTCTGTGCTTTCCTTGATTGTATAAACATGGCTAGATGTGTCCCTGGTTTTGACAAAAGAATTTAGGGACTTGGTAGCAAAAAGTGGTTGGAGCCAGCAGGATGCGAGGATTGGATCCTGCTTTTGGCTGCACTCTTGAACCAGCCTGCCTTGGGACCTGGAGCTTTTAGGCCGAGGGCCAAGCATCTGGGGGGTTTTATTTTTCCCAATGGAACCTGGGTGACGGTGTCCAAAAACTGGTTGGATCTGGCAGCAGCCAGAGGCCAAAGGGTGGTCAGTGGTTTTGCCGGCTTGCCTGCAATGTTTTGGTGGAGCCGACCCAGAGGCCAAAGGGTGGTCAGTGGTTTTGCCGGCTTGCCTGCAATGTTTTGGAGGAGCCGGAGCAGCCGAGCTTGACCCAGAGGCCAAAGGGCGGTCAGTGGTTTTGCCAGCCTGCCTGGACAGCTGGGGTCTTTTAGGAGAGCCGAAGCAGCTGAACTTGCCTCCTCTTTTGACTGCTGTGGGAGGAGGATGGGCTAGTTCAAACCTGGCCTGGATCCAGCAGGATCTAGGTGCCACGGGGATTGTCGGAGATGTATTTTGTCGGCTTTTTGTTTCTTGGGGTTTTCTGCTCGTCAGGATGCTCCGGGGAGGGCTCCGGGGACGCAGCAGGAGAATCTGGAGCTCCTCGAGCCAGGAGGGGCCGAGGATTGGCTGGATCCAGCGGGATCCGGCAGGATCCAGCTTTTCCCCACACCCGCAAGTGACCCGCACACAAGACCCGACAACGCAGCCGCGCTCAGCCAATGTCAGGCTGCACCGGGAGCGGCGGCGGGAGGGGGCGGGGGGAGCCCAGTGCGCGCAGCATGTAAACAATACACGCGAGAGCCCGAGGTGCTGAAGGCGGCCCGGGAGCGACCCCCGCCCCAGCCCAGGGACCTGCCGGAGGCGCCGCTCGGAGCTGCGGGCCGGGCCGGGC